CTTTTTAAGAAGTCAAATCCTAGCTGTAGTCTCTCACTTTTTTCTACACTGTTAGCATTTTAATTCTAGTAGTTCTTATAAACTAGTACGAAGAGCATCAAGAACAACAACAATTAACACAGCAATAGTTATGTGTGCAAATGTTTTTTTTCATTATTATATATTTTTTTAAATAGCATATGAACTATTGTCCCTCAATCGGTAAAAGCGCTCCAARTTTCCCATTCCTGAATGTTCTTTTAGTTGGAACAAATATTGCTTTCTTCTTGGTGAACCTTTATTTTCATTTATCTTTGAGTTTTAAGAAAATGTTTTTTGTGCAAATATTTTTTGTGCAAATATCATTATTACAGAAGAAAAATATTTCTGCAGGTTGTAACCGACACCGCCTGAAATAGTTTCTTTGTTTTTTAAGCAATGATTATGATTTTGTCTGTGTGGTTCCGAATGAGTGCCTTTTTCAAATATATGGTTYAGCGGCGTACCGAACAAGTCATGTAAAMTTTCGTACCTTCAAGCAACCATTAATATTTTGTTTTTGTTTATATCGTAAAATACCTTTTTAAATGTGGAGGGAAATGTGGAGAAGATACTGTKTGAATAAAAGCTAGAAAAAAAKTGTAAAGTAACGTTTATGAACAAGGGCAATGTATTAGTTTTATAGAAAACTGAATAAATTTGTTTTAATATTTGGTCTCCTGTAAATAATWTCTCTCTTTGTGTATGAGCTTTTTCTACTTTAGTGATAACGACTGTTATAGTTATTAAATAACATCTATTTGTTAGTAACTACTTTGTGTTTATTTCATTTACTGCGTTTGCAGTCTATTGAGTAAATATTATATTGTCGACTCGACGATAACTCAAGACACAGCGAACAGCTCAAAATTATCGTACTTTTGAATCGATGCAAGGAATACACACAATATGAAGACAAGACGAAATGGTAACAGGGAACATTGAATATAATAGTAATATCATATCTAACTTTCCCTTTTTTCTGATATCGTCCTATGTTGTTCTGAGGATATTTTTCCATCCTCTTTTCAAATATATTTTTGAGAAGTCAAATCCTAGCTATAGTCACTCCCTTTTTCTACACTCTTTTAGCTTTTTAGTTAAAATAGTACTAACAGCATCATGAACATTTATTATATATTTCTTAAAATATTTCTTCTCAAAATAACATGAACTATAGTCCCACTCAATCAGTAAAAATGCTCCGACTTACCCCGGCGTTCTTGGATGCTGTCGTAGTTAACAAGTTTTCTTCTCGTTTAACCTTTATTATAATATGAGTTTCGTGAACACTCTTGGTGCACTCTTGCAGCTCTTGGTGAACCTCATTTCCAAATTTATTTTGGTCTCCAATCTCCTTGAATGGCTTTTCAAGGTCATCTCCAAAAGAGCTCATCGGCAAATGGAATATGAGAAAATAAAGATGAATAGTCCCTTCCTATATCTTTTTCCAAGAGTTATTTTCTCTGCATGTTCATTACAATTTAACTTTAGTAAGCAACAATAAGATCTGAAGACCAAGTGTATTCAGTTCTAAATATAAATGTATATTGATTCTTTCTTCAATCGACCTAGGGTTAGGTCAGTCATGTCTTGCTATTCCATTGCATGATACCATTTACCAAAGCCTGCTGTATATTTTGTACATAGTCTCTATTTTTCGTGTAGTCTCCCAGTTAAACGATAAATACCTGTTTTTTTCTGGCCATTCTTGACGGTCTAATTTTTCCTTCAAGACCTTATCAGACATACGATGTCTAAACATTTTATCCAGCAATTTTGCAAGCTCGCTCTGTTGACGTTTTGCCCTGACAATATCGTTCGACAGTCGAATTCCTTCTCTAGCTACACGAAGAGCGTATCATTGTTAGAGTCTTGCGGACACACTGTCGTTTTCATTGATGATTTTATTCATCATTTGGTCAGGGTCAATGTCGTTGACGGCTGACTTCGAGTCAGTGTTTGTAGTTGTGCTCGTGTAGATCCAACATGGCGGCGGTTCTGATCACCATTACTATTTCGATTGTCGCTCTAAATATCGCACTTCTGAATCGATGCAATGAATACACAATGCTGTATCTTGGATTTGATGCTAACAAGAAGAAATAATAACAGGGACCATTGAGTACTAATAGTGATGTCATGTTATATCTAACGTTCCCTTTCTTCTGATATTGTCCCATGTTGTTCTGACGGTGTTATTCCATCCACTTTTCAAATAGCTTTTCGAGAAGTTAGTTGTAGTCCCTTACTTTTTCTATACTGTTGGCTTTGTAGTTGTTCTTATAAACTAGTAGTACTAACAGCATCATAACATTTCATTTTTTATTATTATTATTATATATTTTTTAAACAGAATATGAAATATAGTCCCTTGATAAGTAAAAACACTCCGACTATTGCTTTCTTCTTGGTCAACCTTTATTTTCATTTATCTTTCAGTTTAAAGAAAATATCTTTTGTGAAAATAATTTGCGTGAGATATCTTTCTTACAGAAAAAGAAAATTATGTGTGCAGGTTGTAATCGACACCGCCTGAAAATTTTCTTTGTAAGTAAGGATAATTATGTCCGTGTGGTTCCGAATGAGTGCCTTTTTCAAATATTTGTCACTCCCATTATGTCTTATAATTAATTTACATACAATAGGCGTGTATTTGGTAACCGTACCTCATGTTGTGAGACCCATAATAGCCTCGCGTTTATCAAGCATGAAGACAGCAAACTTGGTTTTTAAGCCTACGAAACAATTTAATTTCAGAAATTGTGAGTAAAGTAATTGCAAAGTACCGTCTGGCATGGGTTTTCCTTGCGGGATGTTCAGTTAGCGGAGTTAAACCATAAAATAAGGACTCCGGAGTAAAAGTACCGGGGATGCTCGTGAAAAAACCCCCAGATGTTTTCAATAAAGAGCGTGGCTGACTAATTTTTAAACCCTAGGAGATTGCGAGACACAAATATTGAGAAAAATTAATTTCGATGCGCTCTTTCTCTTCTTTTCCGACACTAGGAGATTGCAAAAAATGCAAATTTCCAGAAGCTCCAAATTTGCACCCTACACGATTCGCGATCACGAAATTTTACCCCCGTAAGAGATTTTGAAAGCAAATTATATCGTAAAATACCTTTGTTTACTTCCAATTTATAGAGAAACCTCGGTTTTTTTATTTTCACTAGTGAAACGTTTCAAAAGAGAGAAATAAAAGGTATTTCATCATATATAAGCGCATATCATCAGTATAATTTGAATTAAATAGGAGACCCGCAGAGAATAAGAGAGGTTACTACAGCACTGCAACTATAACCACATATGTTCATTGTACAATTCAACCAAGTATACCTTTCCCAGACAAGAATTTCAAGCCTGACAGAATAAGCCGAAATTGTTAGTGACTATTTTGTGTTTATTTTATTAACTACGTTTGCAGTCTATTGAGTAAATACTGTATTGTCGACTAACTCAAGACACAGCGACCAGCTCAAAATTATCGAACTTTTGAATCGATGTAATGAATACACAATGTTGTGTCTTGGATTTGATGCTAACAAGAATGTTTGAACCGAGGGACCATGGAATTCTAATAGTGATGTTTTTTTTTATCTAACTTCCTCTTCTTCTGATATCGCGTTCTATGTTGTCCTGAGGATGTTATTCCATCCCTTTTTCAAATCTTTTTACACTGTTAGCTTTTTAGTGTTTCTTTTAATCATGAACAACAGCAATTAACGCAGCAGTAGTAGAGTGGTTTTCATAAACCCGTGAAACAAAGTGTAATAATMAGATTTTTTTAMATRGWAATAGTCGCGTAGAGACAATAAAAAACAAAAGAGTTTTTTTGTAATAGCGATAAATACCCTAAAGTGTGTTTCATGGGTTAATGAAAACCACTCTAATGGTGCAAACGTAACGTTCTTTAGTTTTTATATTATATATTTCTTAAACAAAATATCAAACTATAGTCCCTCAATCAGTAAAACTGCTCCGGCCGACTTCTCCGTTCCTGAATGTTCTTTTAGTTAAAACAATTATGTTACAACGCCTGAAAAGCTTCTTTGTTAGCTAGGATTATTTTTTTTTTGTGGTTCCGAATGAGAAGCTTTTTCAAATATTTGTCACATTTTTTTTTGTCTTATAATTAATTTACATACAATATATGAACTATAGTCTTTTTTTTTCCCCGTTCTTGAATGTTCTTTCAGTCAAAAGAAGTTAATTTTTTTTTTTTTGGTTAACCTTTATTTTCATTTATCTTTGACAATATGTTTTTTTCAAATATTTTGCGTGAGATATCTTTCTTACAGAAAAAGAAATTTTTTTGTGCAGGTTGTAATCGACACCGCCTGAAAATTTTCTTTGTATTTTTTTCGATAATTATGTCCGTGTGGTTCCGAATGAGTGCCTTTTTCTTTTTTTTGTTCTATTCCATTAAGTCATATAATTAATTTACATACAATTTTTTTTTATGTTTCGTAACTCACGTTACCAACCTCATAGTTAAATCCTTTTTTTCAGAAACAGACGGACAGAAATCTTGGTGTTCAGCCTACAAATTTTTTTGTCAAGTAATTGTAGGTATGCCACTTACTTTTAAAATAATCTTTTTTTGTCTAATTTTTCATTTTATTGAATGCTC